CCTGGCACACAGCAAGGGCACTGTAAATGGGATCAATGGTGATGATGGCCATTGGTAGCCACACACTTCAATCCTGTGGAATTGAACTGAGGTGCCCCCCCCCCCAACACACATACACTGTCCCCTTCTAGTCTCTATCATCCTAGATTTAGGCACAAGTCATGCGGAAGGGGCTGGCGTCCACACACCAGCAGCAGTGGGAATCCTTCAGAACCAGGGGCCGAAGCAGTGGTGTTCACTCCTTGTAGGCAAGGGGAGCTGTGAGGTCCCCGGGGTCTAGGAGTTGAGGGATGGGCTTTCCTTGGCCTTTGCCTGTGGTGGTGTTGTGATCTCTCTCTTACTGATAGAGAAATGAGAAATAGCTGACCCAATAGCTAGGAAGTGACCTGGCAGGATTCCAAGTCAAGACGACCCTCCCTCCTGCCTCCAGTTCAGTCTGTCTGGACCAACTAGAGCTAAGGGGACACATGGGCTCAGGACAACACCAGCAACTGTCCCCTCCTCTGCCATCTGCTGCCCCAGCTTGGCCCATTATAAGAGTTTCCCTCTGGCCTCCCTTCCCATCCCCTTTACTCCAAACTTGGTTTTACCATAGGCAAAGACTGAGTTGACCATGAGCTTCTCTGGGATCAAACACTTCCATGGCTGACAGACCTGCTCCTCACACTGGCCAGTGTCCTGCTAGGAGCCCTCAGTAAAGGAGGTGGCCACCTTTCTGGAATGATATTTGCTTTCAAATTATAACAAATATATTCAAGGTGTCTAGGGGATTTTTGTCAGAGGAGGAGTTATTTTGGGCTAATCCTCAAAATAGGGGTGTGTGTGTGTGTGAGTTGTGGGGAGGAGACTCATTTGCACAGAAAAACTTCCCCTGTCCTTAATGATGACAAGAAACTGGCAATCTGGAAGCTGGTCCAGCATGTCCTGCACACTGGCACCCATTGCCTCTCCCAGTGGGTTTCCACATCACCTGGGTGTGCTCAGTGCGCCTACCAGCTATGACTTATTGCCCCTAGGACTAGACTGTCTCTCCTTATGCTTTTTTTTCAGCCAAAACTCCTTTAAGGTTCAATCACATGTCCCCTCTTCCGAGAAGTCCTCCCTGATATACACTCCTCCCCAAACAATGCTGCTGTCTTGGTATCTTGCCTCCCACTCCTCTTCACACTTTATTACCGCAGGATGCCATGGCCAACCCTTTGAGAGAACCTCTCTCCAAGAGGTTATGCACAACCTGAGGTCAGGGAGTTCGCTGCAAACTAACCTCTCCCAACCTCTCCCTTGTTGCCTCATCTGCAAAGTGGCTATGGCAGTGATATTTATACCTCATGAGGTTATTGTGAGGGTGGAATCAGAAGTGGGATAAAGTGTTTCCTGTGGCCCTGCCACACAGCAAGGGCTCTGTAAATAGGATCATCTCAAAAAAGAAAAACCCTGCCTGCCCATGGGGCTCCCAGTCTGGCCAGTGGCCTCACTGCTGTGAGGTCCCAAGGAAGGTGTGAGTATTCTTTGGTCTTGATGACAGTGAATACATGAATGAATGAATGAAGGAGTGAATAAATGACTTTTTTCAGCAGGCTTTTTTTCTCTATATTAAGGAATCTGTGGGGTGAAAGCCATGAATGAACTCTGTAAATGGAGGTGCCCAATGAATGATTGATGAAGTGATTGACTGAATGGCACACAGGAAGTTGCTGGCAGCTATGGGGCTCAGTTCTGGGTCTCCCAGCCTACTCACTGGGGACCACATCCACTGACTAGGGCTGGCTTGAGCAGGAGCTGAGAGCCTCCCGCACACTCTCGCAGTAAAATGCAGCAGTTCTCTGCCTGCCTCCCAAGGGGGTCGTGAGCATTAATTAGTTACCATTGGTAAAGTGCTCTGAAGATGTGGGGGTGTACAAACACGGCAAGTCATTAGGCCTCTCCACACCACTATGCTCTACAGCCTGGGAACTGCTAATTGAGAAATAATTAACACCTCAGGGTGCAGAGGACGGATGCCTGGCTTTTCCAGGATTGGAAGGGATGTAATAAAGTGCCCGGGGAGCAGGGGAAAATATAAGGCTACTTTGGATCTGGAAATATATCAAAGATTATTCACCTCCTGCCTCTGAAGAGGCAGTATGGGGCATATTGCCTCAGGAAAATCTTTGGAACTGCACTCCTTGGGGAAAATTACAACCACAGTGCTGGGCTGCAGAGCTGGGCTCTTAGAGCAAAGCACTGAGCGCCAAGCCAGCTCTGTATGGCCTCCTGCCTGATGAACAGATGCTTTTTTCAGCCAAAGCTCCTTTAAGGTTCAATCTCGTGTCCCCTCTTCCGAGAAGCCCTCCCGAATACACACTTCCCCCTATCCTCCAGGCAATGCTGCTCTCTTGGTATCTTGCCCTCCCCTCTTCTCACCTTATTACCACAGGGTACAATGGCCACCAAGCTGCATTTTTCTCAACTGTAAGTCTGGGATGACAGCAAGTATCTATCATCTCCCTGATTGTCCCATGAGATTGTCTAGAGTGCTTCCTTTAGCCTAGCAGCTCTAGCCTGGGCTGCATATTAAGATAGTTGGGGGGAATAGAGAATAGGAATGCCCAGGCCCTCACAAATCAATCAACAGCATCTTGGGGTTGATGGGAAGAGGGAAGTGGTGATACCAGAGCAGTCAAGGCTGAGAATCACTATTGTGGCCAATATGTTAAGCACTGTTTGGCCTGTGTCAGCAGCAGTGGGCAATACACCCTACCACATCCCATGCTTCCCCATGGCTGTGTGCTTGGTGACTCCACTGTGCTCACACTGCCATTCACGGGATCTGTGGCAGTGTCTCCCACCTTTCTCAGGTCACAGACTCAGTTGGAAGTGCACCTCCTCAGTGTGGCCCTCCTTCCCTGTGCTCACAGGGGACTTTCTCAGTTCTCATGACACCATGGATCACCTGGTGTTCTCCTGACAACCCTGCTAGGCTGAGAGCTGTTGGTAGCCAGCATCAGAATCACCCGTGCCTTGTGCATTTAGGTACTTGCTAAGCTACAGCTGCCACTCACCAGGGAGTATTGTCTGATAGGTAGCTCCTGCCTCAGGACATTTGCATGTGTTGATCCCTGTGTCTGGCACATTTTGCCCCAGATATCTGCAAGCCTTGCTCATCTTCAGATCTTTACTAAATTGTCTTTCTCTATGAGGCTTTTCCAAAACATCCTATTTTAAATAGGAGTCAACCTCCAACCAACCCCCCTTCCCTAATTTTTTTCCATAACACTTAACACCATCTTATTCACAGATCCTTTCTTTATATTTAAATTTTGGTAATTTGTTCACAATGCGATACTTGCATTAATTAAAAATTTAGTGAT